AGTTTCTTCTTGTGATTATTATTACCGTTTCCAAAATATAGCGGTTGATCCATAGTAACCATGAACAACCCCTGATGTAATGAAAGGCAGGGAGCAGTTCCCATCATTTAAGTCTGGGGAGATGAATTAAGTGGATGCCATCAGATTATCTTTATTTGATCCTTTTTCAGCAAACATATCAACATTTTGCCAATAACCGTACTGTGAAATGAGGGTTGAATAACTTGCATTGGTAACTTGAGCCTTACATATGTGAATCCAGCACCGATTTCATCAATGTAAAATTCCCTCAAAGAGGACAAAATGAACACAGTGGTGCCAGCCTCCTGACCTTATAAGAGATGACACCACGGTAAAGAGCGCGTCCAATAATAACAGTAAAATGCAGGCATGCGTGCATTCTAATGCACTGCGGATTGTAGTTCATTATTCAATGAGAAGGTCAAGCAAGAAAAAGCATGCCATGCCGCCTCCCTGAGGTCAGCTGTTCAAGTTCCAGCGTCTCCCACAATATAACCTTTGCTCCGTGGAGCCATATTGCCCCAGTAAAGGCCTCCTTTCAAAATATTGAACGATCGTTTCCACATAATAGCGCCTCAAAGGCTGGTGACCTCCGGCTAATACTAACCACAGCAGAAAACATTCACAAGCAGTATCTAAGATGAGTGGCAAAACAAACCTCTTGAGCAGACAGACATATTGTGGTTTTTTTTTGTTTTTTTTTCTGTTTCTGGGTGTTTTAATAGCCACTTCTGCTACACGCTTTCATCAAAATAACTCTCGGATCAAGAATTAAAGTACCCTTTGCACACGCTATTTCTTGTCTTCCTGAAATCAGCTGATTTTCAGTCAGGCTGGGCATTTCATTGATTAATTTGATTTCATTGTTGAGACGATTATTCTTTTTTTTTTCAGCCCTCTGATGGCCTGCAAGGCTTTCCCTAACAGCATGGCAAAGAACAGAGGGGATCATTTCCAAAAGCTCAGTGTTGCATATCTAGCAATTTGGTTAACTTAACTTTTCCGACCCCATTGGCGATATTTTTTTTCTTTAAAAAAAGATGCCAGTTTTATTCCCCCTAAGAGAATCAGACAACATGAGAGCAATGGAAAGTGTGACATAACTCTTTAACAACAAACACGTGTACCAGCCGAGCCATGCAATTGGACATTTTGTTGAAATTTTCAAGGCTTGTGTTCCCGTACAGTACATGTTTTGACAAAAGGAACACAGCTATTTGTATTATTTCTCAAAGTTGATGCAAGTTAATGCTCTGGAGGAAAATGGCTGGTGGAAAGAACAGAATGTTTCAAGCAGGAGAAATACAGCAAAGCCCAGAAGGGTGGGGAAAAAAAAGTGTGTTTTGAATAATCATTTCAATCATTTGCTTTTTCAATAAGCAAATGGGGAAACAACTCCTGGAATCGAAAATTGGATTTTTTAAAATCAATACATAAATAAATGAATACAGTAATATAAGAAATAATCCCCTCCCCCATTTGCTCTTGTGTGAGTCCGGCTTTACTAAAGTGACGGGCGGAGCTTCAGCTTTGCTACAACAGAGGTTTTGCTAACTTAATCGCATTCTCTTACCGGCAAGCGGATGCGTAACAATGGACTCGCTCTCGTGTACAGGTGCAAGCAAGCTTCCACGTTGCTCTGCGAGCTGGCGCTATCCTCTATGCAACAAGTGTGGGCTGCGCCTGGCTGCTTGCTACTACGAGTAGAATCAGGGCCGAGATTGTTGAAAAAAATCAAGCAAGACATAACTACTGCGTTCTGACAGGGAAAATCTCATGGAGCATTATTCATATTGTAGAGGAATAATGAAACTGTCATGTGATGGTGTAGCGGTCCACTCACCTGACTTGTGTGCGGGCAACCTGGGATCGGTTCCCGCTGAGTGGCGGTGTGGATGCGCGTGTGAATGGTAGTTCGTCTTTATGTGTGCCCTGTGAGTGGCTGGCGACCAGTCCAAGGTGTATTTTGGGTGAAAGGTGCGCCTTTCACCCGAAATCAGCTGGGATAGGCTCCAGTAACTCCCCGTGACCCTGTTCGGGATAAGCGGTTTGGATCATATATGGATGGATAATGAAATGCACACTCTGAGGTTGCAGTGCTCAATTCCAATTTAGTCTGGATAGCTGACATTTTGACTGTCTCCTTCCATGTATAACAAACTGGAATGTGTAGGGGGAAACGACACTAAAGGCCATCATAAAATGTAGCTTTCCCGGGAGACTCACAAAAAGCAACACTGACATTTGTGAAGCTCCCGGAAGGCACTGCCAGTGTAACAACCAACAAACGGACTGATTTTCCCTTTGAACAATGTTGACAAGAGAAGACGCATCAAAAGCAAAAATGTGCGTCAGCATTGTGAATTGCAATTCAATCGGCTGGTTTGAAATACTATATCCGAGGGTGCACTTTACAAGCGCCATTCATCAATGTCAGGGGCATTTTATTGCACCCGGGAGCGCCGCCTTGCACCGATCAATTGAATTCCAAACAATTCCTGAATGAAAACTCCTTGTTGATGTGTATTCATTAAGAAATTACGTTTGCGCCTAAGGTCTTTTTGCAGATCCAATCGAGTCACAAACTAAAATAATTCCATTGTTCGCCCTTGAACTAGAAGTCACTTGAGAAAAATGATCGAGTATATTCTCTGTGTCATGTTTGCCCAATAAATCTTGACAAGCAGGATGCCTTCACATGTCAGCCCCACATGAGGGGAAATGAGTTCACATCCAACACATTCGGTGAAGAGCTAAGGGAGTGCACAGGCGATTTTACCGAGGTGTTACCGCAGAGTGTAATTTAATGGGCAATACTGTAATCAGTCATAAACTGGAATGAGAGCATTTCTTGCAGCATGAGTGACCTTTTTTCTTAGGAAAACAAAAGAATCATCTCCTCGACTGGTCTTTGGTGAACCCGATTCCCCTCACTGTCACACCAAGTCCGACACGTGCGCCAGGTAGCTGCCAAATTGAGATGAAACCACTGTGCGTCATGTCCCTGAAGATGAATGGAAGGGCTGTGGGATATTCCTGAAATTCAAAGAGACAACCTCCTTCCCATCTCATCGTTCGAGACAGCCTCAGTTTTCTGGTCATGTGCCAGCATATTGGCCCAAATGAGAGAATTTGGAAGGTGTGAGGTATTGAACAGACGTCAAGCCCCTGTGATGGGCCTGTCATTCTCTCAGCATTATTCCAATCCAAAGCATGTGGAGCATACTGATTTATTGACTTCACATGGCAGCATGACTCCAGAAGAGTTGGTGTGTCTTGATCTTTTAATGCAAGTGAAAAGAAACTGTCAAAGCGCAGGTCTCCAAACTTGGTATGGCAGGATTATGTGAGAAGAGATTGCAGTCGTCTTGAATAGTCAAACAACTTCTTGGCTAGAAGCCCGTAGTGTCACACAGTTAACAACAGCAGCAACCTGTTTTCTTTCCATTTCCAAGCGCAAAAAGGTAACAACCAAAACAATATGGGAGAACACACCACTCTTGTAGCATTTGTGTTTATAATGATTCGCCAGCCAAGTTTTATAGCACGTTTTTAGTTTTTATTTACACATCACGTAAATGGCATAAGATGTTTTGTTTTTTTTCAAAAACCAAACCATGGCTTCAATGTGCCTTGGTCCCCGCTTCCTCACCCCTTTGCCACTTTGTGATTCTACATTTTTATTGTCAAAGAAGATGGATTTTTCTGAGGATGAAAGGTATTTAGGACTATTTTCTGCTGCAGATGCAGAATAATATATTTATTTCGCTTTTTATAAGCGCAAGACAAGGGGGCCTGCTCCTCCTGTTGTCAGTTTAAGAACTTAAGAACACGATTTCCAGTCCATCATTTCAGGACATCATTTATAGCGCGTTCGTCGATTGGCCAAATATATATACTGTACAGCAAGATTTTACGGGAGTTGATTGGATTAATCAGAAATGTATCATCTCCTCTTGTAGTGGCTTGGATGACAGTGACTTTTTGTTGTTGTTGTGAAACCTGCCCTCAGGGTTGCTGAAAATGTTTTCCAAAACATAGTTTGCAGTGATTGAGTGTCAATGAAAAAAAGAAAAACAAAGAAAAGAAAGGTCTTACTGCACAGTGGGTTCTCCATTATTCAAGTTTAAATGTTTGTTTTGTTGCCTTTATTTTTAAGCAGGATGTTTAGGAGTAACTCCACTATCAGTCTACACTTCTCCAATGTTGTCAATGTGCCATTCCATGAAATTACTTTTTAAGGGTTCTGATTGGAATTAAGTGAAATGTTAAATGGCCCTGGGGGGTCACAGCGCCACCCGTGGTGTTCCCATTGGTGGCCTGCAGCCTGAATTAAGGATTTCCACGTGGGCTTTTTGATGGAACATGTGCTTGTAGTGATATTTCCAATTATTGTACGCATCGACTGAGTATCCTGGCACATTCATATATATATATATATATATATATATGGGATTTTTTTTTCAACTAAAACGTGCATGATGGATTTGACTAACATGGATTAGCAGCCAGATGCAGTCTTGTTATTAGGCTATGACGAGTTGGGTATTATGAGATGCACAATGCACTAATCTGGACGTACTCCATCTCTGCAATGCTCCCATTCGCTCACACATCCAGGCGCCAGTAGCGGAGGCTTCGTGCCACTGGATGATGGCATGCTCTTAAAACGATAAACGCTTCACTCTTATTACAGTTCAACACAACATTATCTGTGCACGCACCACTGGCTCAGGAACTAATGAAAAGTAGAAATCCAACTGTTATGAAGCCATAATAATAAAATACAAACATGTGCTCTCTCTTTCGAACGGAGACAGCAAAAAGAAACAATAAACCTCACTTCTCGAAACAACAGCATCCGTCCGGTGGCATGAGCGCACCTTGCAGCGTAAAAGGAGTGCTTTACAACACACGCACACGGGAACACACGCGCATAACAAAACGCGGCGCTCGTGAGAGAATTTCCGTGCACATACCGGTGCTCTTCTGCTCCGTTGTCCAGCTTGTGGAGGAATCGCGCTTCGGTCAGGTCGACAGCAGTTTTGAAGCGGAGCGTTCGGTGCCTCGCGCCGCACGCTCTTGGAGGGCAGGCAGCAAACGGCGCGAGGAGAGCAGGCGCCCAACGAGAGGACCGCTAGTTGGGCGATAGTAGCCAATCAGCAGTCGGGCTCGGGAGTGAGGGAGGACGAGCCAAAGTAGTCGCTCTGTCCAGCGCTGGGGCCGCCTTTGAAGCAATTGAGCGAGCGGAAATGACTGGTTATGATAATGGCATCTGGGCAAAAAGCAACAACATTCAAACAGCCATGTATCCCCCATGTACCCGCTTCAGCCGCTGACGTCAACTTCACTCAACGCAGAGATAATTCGTCTCCACGTGCACCGATGGGGTGTTATGGTTTATAATGACTTACGCAATGTAATAAATACTTGGATGAGATTTTTTTATGATGTTTAAACTAGACTGTATTTCATTTTCGATAACGCTCAGCCTTTATGGGACCTCACTAAGCAGAATTTAATTTGGGGGACCACAATCCACCACTATTTGCTGACAGAAGTATATGGATATATGGATTTTGGCGTGTGTGCGTGCGTGCGTGTGTGTGTGTGTGTGTGTGTGTGTGTGTGTGTGTGTGTGTGACTGTGTGTGTGTATATATACAATCATACAGACAGAAAGACAAATAGGTTGCCAATTGCTTTTTTTCTTAACTTTTTTTTTCTAAACCAAGAAGAGCCAGGTTCAACTTTGAGTGTAAGATCAAATAGTCTACTATCCTTCAAGAATGATGAAAGCTGGATCAACGTATCATGTCCTATTAAAAGTACAATCCGTTGCTTAGTTATCTGCTCATTGGTTGATGGTACAGAGAGAGCACGGGAGAGGCCTTGATAGACAATATGCCAGAGATTTTGTCCGTCCGTTTGGCCTTGAGCCAAATGTGGCTCATGACAGTGGCCTCAAAGTGATAATTGTGATTGTCACACTTGATGATGTGCATTCCCTTGTAATGCTTTGCAAGTTTTGTTCAGCCACAAAGTAATGCATTAAATCTTTGAACTTTAACTTAAATCAGACCACTATTTTAGAAATAGTAACGCATTCACTTACCAGTGAATCAAAATGTTAGGACGTTAGTAACGCATTACTGGCATCCATGGCGGCCATGGCGGGGATGACATGGGTCCGAGCAGCAGCACGGCCACAGCAGGTAAACAAGCACTGTCTGCTATAACATGGCGCGATCCGAATCTGAGATTTGAGACGAGGGTTGTCACAAGAACCGACACTACCGGTAATGTGAATGTGACCGAACCTGAATGCGCTCCAGCTGCTTGGTGTGGCCACATTCACAGTTGAAGCCCATCTCGTCTCTCAAACCTGGCATTACTTTTCATTGAGACCTGACTGAGAGGGCTAACTTTAACGATGTTGCTGAGACATTTGCTAGGATGAAGAAAAGAAAAACGAACATTTCTAGGCTGAATCAAATCGTGGCAGAAATGCAAAGTTCGGAAGTCATTTATTTATTTTCAATCGCCGTTGAATCGTGCTGTCTTGCAGCTGCACTTTTTTGTTAATCAATGTTTACTGAAGTTATTCTTAGATTTCTATGCCTGGTGGTGCATTGGCACCTTGAGTTGTTTATCGGAGTTGTTTTATTTTGTGTATTGTATTGGGGAAGGGTTAATATGCCCGTCATTGAAGTGTAATGGCACCTTATTATTTTATTTTGTGTATTGATATATATCGGGATGGTGTTGGGAAAATGTTATTTACATACTGTTATTTATGTTATGGTGGTCATGTATGTTATTTATTTATTTAATTTGTTTGTATAAGGTCTGGGGAAAGGGTGGAAATGGTTGGCAATAAAATGAGGCAGCTATTGCAATTCTAATCACTGTTATGGTCTATTCCTGGCTTATCTATTTCTTACTTTTTGGGCTTTTTCTGTCCTTTATTCGCATGTGCGCCTCAAAACCCATGTGCAATACAACCCAGCTACGCCATTGTCTTGAACATCCATGCGGCTCCTCAGACCTCAGCCATCCGACGCCTTCTACATTCTGCGACTGTCATTGTCTCGGTACGAGGGCTCCAGACTTCACGGTTTTGCTGTGGTCGACGAGGCTCCCGCAGAGAATTCAGGTCACCACTGACTGTGCAGGTACAGAAATGCTTCCTGTCGCTCGGGGTCCAAAAACCGTGTCCAATCATCACCCAGATAAGGCCAGATTCATATGCACAGGCCTACTTATGACCACTACATCCTGTGAAAATATAAGAGTGATCATCCCCATACAGCTTTTATGCACAGAGGAGGCGGGTAACTTCTAAAGTAAATGTTCTGATTCTGAGTAAACCGTTCAAGCTCTTAAACTCTCTACTTCAAAAAAGATCCGGCTAGCACTCTGAAATGGGCATAGTTCTTCTGTTATGATACTGTGGGCAGGTACGTGTTTTAGTCCTCTGCACTTTGCTACTTTAAATTTCAGGAAAAAGAGGAAAAATAAGGTTGTGCTAAAACTTTTGACCCACAGTCAGCGTTTACTTTACAGTCTAAGTGGAAGGCATAAGAATCAAATGATGAATAATGAATGAAATACAGTAAGCCATTCCTATCAATTGTCAATCCAGATGTTGCTTGAAAGAACAGCGCAATTAAAAAGGATGATGAATTATTGAACCAGTAACAGCAGTTGCCTGACATCGATAAAGGAGCTGTCAGCAGAATGTAGAACCCACAGAATCTGTTTTCCGGAACCAGTTGTTTTTGCTTTGACAATACACGTAGGAATAAGAAGACATGACAATAAAAGGAGTGGCCAAATCACTGCTGTTTTATGCACAAGAAATTCATGCTTTTTATTTTTAATATCATAAGTTTTTTTTTTTTTTTTTAATATTGTGAGTTTTTATGCAGTAGTATGAGCATTTTTTTTAAATATCGCCAACCTCCCCACAATATCGTGATGGTTATCGTATCGTGAGGTTCATATCGTGTTAATATCGTATGGCAGGGGTGTCAAACTCATTTTTGTCGTGGGCCACATTTTAGTTACGGTTTCCCTTGGAGGGCTGTTATGACTGAACCCATATAAAAAAGTCAAGAGTAACGGTTTATTTAACTATTGTTTAAGTTACTGTAATGAGGGGTTTGGTAGCAAGAGAATACTGACAATATGTCTCTTATTTATTACATTAGAAAGATTTAAATGTTGGTAGAGATTTCAGCAAAGCTTCATGGAAGTTGACATGCTTGATTTGCTTTCGCGGGCCACAAAAAATGATGTGGAAAGCCAGATCTTGATTTTGACACCTGTGTCGTATGGTAACGTTTCATCCTTAACATGTAGTATCATAACTTTGTTTCTGTCGGAAGAAACGAAAGTGAAAAAAATGAAAGTAATACAGTCATTCTGCATCAGTAAAAATCAATATACCTGTCTCCAAAGGGATCCCTTCTTGCCCGTTATGCGTGTGTGTGGTATTTCTAACGCCCCGGCGCCACTGCTGCTCTCATTTCTCTCTTCATTTACTCATTAAAAAGTCATAAACTGGTGAGTTCATGAAGCTTTATTTCACCCAAAACGCAGCCGATACATGAAAAAAAAGGAAAAACCTGTCCAAATGTATTCATGTGTAATGTGTTATCGCAAATACAAATGCAGCAAGTCATCTGAGAATTCTGTGCAACATACAGGAGCGAATATTCGTGTTACAGTGCACACCAGGTGCAACTCATCTGTGCTAAAACTGCAGAAAAAAGAAAGAGAAAGCTCGGTGCATTAAATGAGAGCGGTTCATCTCTCCATGGACGCGCACGTAAAACTGAGTGGGGGGCTATGCTGTCGGATTCTGATTGTACACTGCAATGCTTGGTATTTAATAGTCGTCGCTGTCATCATCATAATATCGGTTCCTCTTGATCTGCTCCTCTGCTGTCAGAGATTCGTCACGACTCCACAGAGAGGTGTCGCAGCCGCTCCCATCCTTTCTCCTCTCGCCTTCTGCTTGGTCTGCTCTTCCCCTCTGCTCTGGCCTCAAATCCAAATGATCGTCCAGCGCTGTCAGCGGAGGCCCCTCCTCAGCGGATTTCTCAAAGATGTCAAATTGGAAATCGGATAGCAGAGTGGAGCCGCTGGTACTGAGACCGGCAAAAATGTCCTCCAGGAAGCTTGTCGAGCTAATCTTTGGCTCAGTCTCCGCCTTCTCGAAAGGTAACGCTCCCTCGGCTTTCTCTTCTGGAAAATGTGTGAAAGCATCTGGATCCGATTCTGTGGCCTCAACAAATTTGGCACCAGCTGGCACAAAGGCATCATCCCTCTGTGCCAGCTGTAGCACTTCAGGTGGCATCCAGTTTGAGTCATCACTGCAGTTAGCTTGGCAAATATCTCCAGTCCTACTTGCGTCTGTCCAAAGGTTGGACTGAAATCCTTTCCCCTCATCCTCAGCCAACCCTTGCAACAAGACGTGATGGTCACGCAGCATACTGCTCTCGTTATTATTGTTGAAGTTTGAATTTTGGGCCTCTTCGTCTGAACAGGTCATCCGTAACTCCTCCTGAATTTTCCCAGGAGCCACATCTTGACCTGTTGCGTAATCTGTCTGTCTGTCACTTACTGTTACTTCCTCCACCATCTGCTCTTCTTGCTTCTCCATCACACTTTTCACAAATCCATCCACAATCTCTTCATGTTGCTCCTGGACTTCAGATTCCACATCAGAGTCTGGTGGAGGCAAAGCGTCTGAGGCACTGTTGTTCACCACCTGGCTGACACTCTGATCTGCTGCTTCCTGTGAGCCAATGTCAGGACATTTTGAAGCCTCTACAGCAGTCTCCTCTTTTGTGGTCATATGTGAGATTAAATGCATGCTCCCTTGCACATCCTCCTGGTGTTGATTTTGTGCTTCAGCAGGGGGAATGCCACCCATTTTTACTGAAGGCTTTATCGGCGGAGTGACTTCTTTTTCTTGTACCGCAGCCTCTGCTGGAGGCCATAACGGCTTCATCAACTTCAGCTCCTCCTCAATCGTGAAGGATCTCTTAGGAGAATCAGTCTGAGGAGGCCACACAACAGATATCTTACTTGTGGATTTAATGTTTCCACTACCAGCTGAGTTCATGCCGGAATCCTGATAAATAAATTTGCTCTGAGCAGTGGGATATTTGGAATTTTTTTGGAACTCTTTCTTTTCGGGCAAAGATGATTTGACTCCAGTCTTTTCAACTGGAGCTTTTTGGTTGTAATTCCATCGTTCTTTGAGTGGTTTCTGTCCAAATCCTTCGTTATAATTTCCTTTGGATTTGAAGAGTTGCTTGTAGTGTGGCGTGCAATACATTCGTCCATGGAGAGATGCGTAGTTGCCAAGACTATGAAAGAAAGATCAGATCAACTCTCAGAAATGAGGCATCATAAAAATATTTGCAATATCGGGTCACTCTACCTTAGTTTGCCTCTACAGTGGTCGCAGCGAAAACAGCTTTTATGGAAGTTTTGCTTGTCTGCAATCAGAGCTTCCATAGGATACACCCTCTTCTGACACACCCTGCACAGTTCGGAATCTGGAACTTGAATCCTCTGCACAAAGAGGAAATGACGGTTTAACATACACGAATGTGCATTAACAACAACATGCAGCACAACAACAAGTGGCAATGGCAATGCAATAAAAGAGTGTGTCAAAAATCCAAACGATAAGAATGCTAGTAATGTCTAGACCAGGGGTGTCAAACTCATTTCACATTGTGGGCCACATACGGCCTCGGTAGATGTCAAGTGGGCCGGACCATTCACATTATACCATACTCTGCTATAAATAACCAAAATATCACGTCTTTCCTTTGTTTTGGTATAAAGAAGCATTGGCACATTGATGCTGTTTGATGTGTTGGGTCTGTCTCAGTGACAGACTGAGACTGCTGTTTTCTTCTCTGATCAAAACAGTGTGCCGCCTAGTGGATGATCCATGAATTGCATCTTATGAAAAATATTCATTCCGTGTCTTTAACGCATTTTTTCACTTTTAAATTATCCTGCGGGCCTGATCGAACCTCCTTGGGGACCGGTTCCGGCCCGCGGGCCGTAGGTTTGACACCACTAGCCGAGACTGCCACTGCTGTGGTTATATTGTGGTAAGAAATGTTTGCGATCATACAGCCTCATGTCAGTGAGTGTGCTCAGTGAGAACCCATTCCCCTTCAGTGGTCATTGTGGTCATGGTTTACAAGGGTGTAATATAACTGCCTCATATTGTGACAGGTGAACAAAATAGAATTCTCATTGTGATACTTTACTGTTCTATTTGACTGCAAACTACAACCACAATTAAAAAAAAACAAAAACAAAACATTGATCAGATGGACCTTTTCAATGCAGATCCTGGTTGTAGCCTGGATGTGTTATTTTAACTCTTTCAGGGACAGCAGTTACTACAGTGGACAGCTTATGGTGTTGTCAGGTTACAAGGTGCATCAAAGGGTTAAGTACGATCGGCAAATCCTCAGACTATTCAAATGTATTAAAAGCGGTGACATGAGCATTTTCTCTCTTCTGTTTTGTTGGTCGGACCAAGCCAACTCGACTCATAAATGAAGTCCGTAGCGATCTGCACACCTACGTACATTTAATAATCGGTATCTCAGACAAGTATGATGTATCTTATTTAAAAAGTTTTTTTTTTACGTTTGTCATGTTAGAAGATAATTCTCAACTGATCGAGATGTTGTACGTGGCACAGTTGCGGTGTGTTACATTATGCTTTTGAATAGAATCGATGTGTCCTGTTTTACAAACAAAAGTTTCTTTTGGCAAGCCCTCACTCGCGGGGCTGTGTTTTAATTTATTTTTTCTTCTGGAGCACTACGATTGCTCTTCTTTGTACTACACGATGACGGTATTCCATTTCTATCCGTGCAGAAAGGCAGTGTGCATCAGTCACTGCTGCTGCATAAGAGCATCACATATGGCAAAAGAATGTTAATGTAGTGCATGGTTCCTATAATTGCGATGTGATAGAGGCCGTGTTAAAAGATGGAATCCGCCACTGATCAAAGCACATTGCTTGCGTGCTCCCCATCGGCGACAATGAAAACACCACAGAACCAAGTGTGAGAAATATTAATTCAATATGTTAGTGCCAGGGCGGGACGGTGGGCAACTGGTTGATTTGATCCAGCACCCTGGCCTTCCTGTGTGGAATTTGCATGTTCTCCCGTTGCCTGAGTGTGATTTCTCTGGGTACAGTACATTACATCAAAAGTACATGCATAGTAAATTAAATAGAAACTCTATATTGTCCTTAGGTGTGATTGTGAGTGCGAATGGTCATTTGTCTTTGTGTGCCTTGCAATTGGCTGGCCACCAGTTCAGGGTGTATTCTGCCTTCTGCCCGGAATCAGCTGGGGTAGCATCCAGCACGCCCGTGACCCTTGTGAGGATAACACGATCGAAATAATGGATAGACAGATGCTTTGCTTTTGCTAGAATCATGCCTAAGTGGCATGACCAATCAGGAAAATACTGTATGTGAGCTGTGAATATTAGGTGTGAAACTGCTGGAATCACCGCACCTGTAAACGGCTCAAAACAACATAATGCACAAGACAAAAATCAGAGAGCAGGGTTAGCCAAATGTTTCCTTTTGCATGATCAATGAAAATGATACAAACCAAAACACACCATCATGCCTGTTTAGTGTCCTCATGCTGCAAGGCTCGCATTACCCATCACGACAGTCTCTTGCTGACGTGTGACAATCTGTGAACTCCTCTGCTCTGTGACGCTGAAGCCCACATTCTGGAAGCTTCCTTGGCTCTCAGACCAAGATTGCTGGAGGTTTCTCAGTAACTCCTCGGTGGAGGCATCAGAGGACACAGCAACTGGTGCAACTCTGCCTCTCACCACGTCAGCATAGGATGGAGGGTTGCCACGGGTCACAGAACTTTCAGAGCTCTCAGAATGCACCTCGCTCCTCGTCATGTTTCCAAAGTCATCAATGCTACAGAACCGCTCAGTGAGTGAGGACATTTCAGACTGCTCCACCGGCTTAGAATGGGAAAAGTCTGCTTCTCTTTTTTCAATTTGTTCTCGTAGGTCTCGGGCTGCTTGAGAACTGTGTTCGCCGCTTTCGAAGACATTCTTGATGGCTTTAACGTTGAATGTCGACACCTCCTCTGTTCGCGGGGTGTGTGGGTCGGCCTCTGTTTCCTCAGCGTCACCCCCCAGCCTCTCTGTAATCACAATTGGCTCTTTCCTGGAGTAGACTGTTGCTTTTGGAGACTCAAATTTATTGACCAGCTTTGTCATGTCCACTCTTGGGAGGTCCTCTTTCAGGATGTCTGCAGTCAAAACCTGAGCATTCTCCTCAGTATCAGCTTCAAGGCGCTCAGGGATATCGATTGGATCCTTCCGAAGATATGCCTTGTTTACTTCTGCTTTCCGGGCCTCCTCAAAGAAACACTTTTTGTCTTTGACTGTTATTATGGAGTCGCCCAGTTCCGGCACATTCACCAATACCTGGTCATTACTCACGGTGGGAGTGGCCTGTCTGAGACGCGGAGATGATTGTTCTCCACAATCCACAAACACCTCGGACGCCGCCACATGAGGTGGAGGGGTGGGGTTGCAAGAAAGCTTCGAGGTAGTGTCTTTCACTTTTATTAGCTTCTCAGAGCGACTCATAGTGGGAGATGGCGTGGCCCGGAAGGTGGATGTGGCGGTGTACTGCTTACGTGGCGGAGGCGGAGGAGTCCCGACAGACTTGTAAGGCGGTGGTGACGGGGTGCCTCTAAGCGGCGACTCTATCCTTCTCGATTCAATGCTAATGAAGGTGGGAGAGGGGGTACGAATGCTTGCCAATGGAGAGCGGACTCTCTGGTCTGCTGCCTCGCTCAGCTCATGTTGCACTTTGCTCTCGTGCAGTGACTTTTTTTCTTCAGCAGAGCCCTTCTTTTCACTTTTAGATGAACCGATACTGATTTTTGATACCTTTGTAGTGACACCGCTGAAGACCTTCTGATCTGGTTTCGGGGCCACTGGGGGCGGCGGGGGAGGGAACTCTTGCTCTTTCATTTGCATAGCTGTCAATTTTTCCTCCAGATTTGCGTGCTTAACTTGAATAATATTCTTCAGATAAGCCACCATCTCTTTCAACTTTTTCCTATTTGACTGTTTCGCTAGTCCACTTAAATTCTTTCTCTCATCCGAGCCAGCCAGCCAGTCAGGGAGATCACTTATAATCATGCTGACAGTGGCGGGGTCGATCTTGCTTGGTGTGCTCTCAAACTCTTTTATTTGAGTGAGCAGCTTCTGCATGACGAGACATTTCTCTAATTGTGGCATTTCATCTGAACGGGCCTGGTCCATACGAGTCATTTTTACCGATGTGCCACTTGTTGACTTTCCCGATGTCTGCACTTTGCTTATGTCTGCAGCTTCTTGCTTTATTTGCTTTTGGTGCATATGAGCAGCTTCTTGCCTCTGAGAGCTATGCTGGACCACCCTCTCGGTCATGACAATTTCCTGTTGTCTTTGGACCTGCTGTGTCCTCGTGCTCTGCTGAACCTGGGACACGTTTGTTACCTTGGCCTTCTTGGGCATTACAACAGTGACTGCTGGTGCCTGGGTTTCTTTGGCTTCCTTCGCCTGTTTCCCGGACTCCGTGGAAGTTTCTTCCTTAATAGGCACGGATTTTTTGGTCTCTGATGCTTGAGCTTCTGTCATTGATGATGTCACAAGGCTGCTTCTCTGGGTGAATTTTTTTTCATTCTTCTGTGACACATTGTTTGCCTGCTGCATTTCACTTTTTGTTGCCTCTATTTGTGCCGACGCATCGCTTGTCTCATCTTTTTTCTCAGCCGGCATTTTAAAGGTTCTCACCTTGAAACTTGGCATTACCTTGGGGATTTTTGTGGGTTGAGAAATGGGCATTTTTCCTTCTTTTGTTGCTACCTCATTGACATTTTTCACATCTTCGGCTCTCACCATGGCTGGAGCCTGCCGAGATAGACCATCGCGTCTACTGACTCTGGACTCCTTAAAAATCTGCTGCTGCTCAGTGACTGAAGAGGTGACAACATCAGCACTTGATTGGACATTGACATTTGAGGTTCCTTGTTCAGACTGCGATACAGAAAAGTGTTGAGGCTTGAACGCGGGTGCTGCTTGATTTGTTAGGTTGACTTTGGAGGAGAGTACATTTCCTGAGGAGATCTTACCTGGAATTTGCTCCTTTTCTAAAGAATTATTGGAATATCCCAGGGCTGCTTTTTTATTTGCTACAGAGATCAATGGCTTGCTCAGAGGAATCTGAGATGGCATTTTTTGGGTGGTTGTATGGTGCACTGAAGTTTTTTCTTTGATAATTTGTACATTTGCTTTTGAAGATTCTGTAGGAACCCGCACATTTGCTTTTGAAGATTCTGTAGTGTCTACTTTTTCAGTCCCGTGCAATGTGGAATGCTGCAGACTGTCAACATTGGCGGGGGCTTGTATATTTACTGGAGGGGAGATGGGAGTTGTGACTGTACATGTGCCTGTTTCCTCATTTTCCGTTCTCTGCTGACGGTATTTTTCTTCTGCAAGCATTAGGGGGGTTTTAAATTTGCTAGCATACGGCCTTGGCTTTGGCACAGGAGCCGGTTCAGGGGGCAGAGGCAACTTCATTGGTGGAGGAAATATTTTTTTGGGTGTCTGTTTGCCTGCGTTTTGCATCACTTTATCCAAAGGGAGGTTTGGCATTTTTTTGTGCACTTGACTAATTTTGTGTGCTTCCTGCTGGCTTGCTTCTGTTACACCTGCCTGAACTTTGACCTCACTGCTGGGTGCTGTTGTTGTTTTTTCTTGGTCAAGGTGAAGCTGAATGGGATGTTGCAATGGATTCTGCACATTTCTTTGCCATTTTGGTTTAACAGCTACAGGCCTTTGTGCTTCTGGTTGTTTGGGCACTTTAAACAAAGGCTTACCTATGGGCTTCCCTGGATTTGTAGCAGTAGGCAGAGGCATTGCTTTAAGTTCTTCTTGTGAAGGTGGGGGAGGAAGGAAATCTTGTCCAGAGTAAGAGGTGGGAGGAGGAGGCAGAAAAAATTCTGGCTCTGATTTTCCACTTTCTACCGGAGGCGGCGGCGGTGGTGGTGGAAGGTCACTTTCTTGCGTTGCAGTGGCGGCTCGGGACAAGCAGAATGGGCTTTCCAGCACTGGAGATGGTGGTGGAGGGAGAGAAAGCTCAGACTCAGAGGGAGGCGGTGGTGATGACGGAGGTGGAGGGAAGTAAATTTCCGGCTTCACCTTTTTGGTCCAGCCGCCCGTCACCATGTCAAGATTATGAGAGCCACTCTTCATGTTTTTGAAGGTTTTCTTTTGTGCGAAAGCCTGATTCTCTGTTTGCTTTTTAACTGTTTGCTCAGTGATTGTGACATTTTGTTTGCGGGAGATACTTTCCTGCACGACTCTTGTCTGTACCTGTTGAACTGTCTTTGTTTGGCTCATTTGCTTGTTTGAAACATTTGTCTGCAGTGAGTTGTGCACCTCTTTAATTGTATTCATGTCAGCTGTTTTAGCTTTTGCTTGCTCATAATTAGATGTTTGTTTAGTCTTTTCCATAATGGGCTTCGGGGATTGTGTTTTCTGAGGGGGCAGCACTTTGGGCTTTTCTTCTTTTATGTTCTTTTGTTGAAAGGCCCCAGCAGTATTGTCTGTTTTGGATACAGTCACAGAGGCCTCATTGGTAATTACCTGCGTTTTCACCAGCTTGCTGTCACTGTGCTTTTGCGACTCACGGCGTTGACAGAGGTTTTTCACAGCAGTCTCTGAACCGCCGGTTATATTTTTCTGATTTTCTTCAAGCAAGCGCTCATGTGCCACTTGATTTACAGTTAGTGGATTTTTCTGCGGAGTCTTTGCTTTTGAATGCGTGCGCTTTGGCTTTGAATACTGTTTTTTTTGCATCAGGCACTTTATGGCCCCTTGAACATCCCCTTTCACTACTTCCTCTTTTTCCACAAATGTTGTTTCCTGTCCTTCATAGAGTGATTTTATGGACGTTTTGACATCTCCTTCGATGCTCCCCCGGCGCTGCATTCTTGGGCTGATTGGCTCAAGGAGGAGCTGAATGGTTCCTTTAACATCCCCTTGTTCACTCACTTGATGCTGATATGTCTTTTTCTCACTGGAAGCCTCGTTTAAATGTTGCATTGCAATATGAATGTCTCCTTTGACAATCTCCTCTCTTTCAACTTCCTTGACCGCACGTTTGGCCTCCTCTAGGGACTTGAGGGTTCCTCTGATATCACCTGCCACTAAATCTTCAACGGTGGCCTCTATTTTTGTAGTTGCCGACTTCTCAAGTGACTCAAGAGCACCTCTAATGTCTCCTGGGATTATTTCTGGTTTTTCCGTCTCTTTGAGCTGATGCTGAGCCTTCTCCAGAGATCTCAGAGTCGTGGGTATGTCTCCTTTCACCACCTCTTCTTTCTCTATCGCCGCTTTTTGATTGATGGCTTGGCTCAGTGAATCCAAGGCTGCACTCAGGTCACCTTTCACAATGTCCTGTTTCTCCAGGTTTCTGTAAGTCACGGTGGGCTGCTTCATGAAGACTTGAACAATGCTGCATACATCACCAGGAACTATATCATCTTTTTTCACCGTGCGGCCGATCTGCTGCTGATTCTTCCTGAGCAAGAATTTGGTTTCCTCAATATCCCCACCAATAATGCATTCCTTTTCTACTGCTTGCACAGTTTCACCTGTTTCGTACTGAAGCTGCTTCAAGTAGTCCAAGGCACCAGATTCTATGCACGTTGTGTAAAAGCTGACATTACCCCTTTCTATGTCACCCACCCTTATCTTTTTAGTGTCCTCTGCCCCCGAGTTGGAGAGGAGGCGGTGAAGGGTTTTGCTGACGTTCCCTTGGATTATATCTTCTTTCTCTATACTTGTCCTCTCCTTTTTATTCAACAAGGAATATATGGTCATCCTCACGTCTCCCTTTTCATCCTCTTGAATCAGAATGCCACGTTTGGAAGAACTCTCATTCTTAAGCAAATTGTTTATGGCCTCCTGAACGTCCCCACGTAGGATTTCCGCTTTCTCAATAGCGCTGCTTTTCTCTTGGTTGAACAGTTGCTCTACTGTGATGTTGATATTGCCCCGCTCTTCATTGTCAATCGTTATCCCCCTCTCAATGGTCTCGCTGCGATTCAGGAGGTTCAACATTATGTTGTTCAGGTCTCCGCGGATAATCTCTTCTTTTTGGATTTCGGGGGTCTCCTGGTTCATCAGTTTGTACTTTGCCATGCGGACATCGCCAATTTCATCGGCCTCAATAAGGATGCCTTGTGAGTCAACCATTTTCTGAGAGTAAAGTTCCTCAAGTGTCTCTTTCACGCTTTTCCCCAAAATGTCTCTTTTTTCTACAGTCTTCTCATTGAATTCATGGAAAGGCGTTGTTTCAAAGAGCCACGTAGTTGTCTTTACATCACCCTGTGGGATTTCTTCCCTTTCAGCCACAAGCTCCGCGTCATCCGTGTTTTTGATGCTGTCGAGCGGCTGCTTCTCAAAGAGCCACACAGACTGTTTGACATCCCCTTTCATCACCTCCTCCTTTGTCACTTTCTCCATACCATCATACTCTGCTTCTTCGCCGCCAATCTCATCAATCGCGCGGGTTTCAAACATCCACGTGGCCGATCTGACATCCCCCTTTTGTATTTCACTCACACTGACCGTTCGAATATATTTTTGAGACATCGCATCTGTCTCAAATCGCTGCTTGCTTGTCCTCACATCACCGCCCTGAATGTCTTCAACTGTTTTGGAAATCACTTTTATTTCCTCTGTAATTTCATCTAACGGTTGTGTTTCAAACCTCCACCTGGCAGAGCTAACGTCTCCTTTGTTGATACCCTCTTCAGTAACAGCTTTTATAACATACACCTCCTTTGAGTCTCTAATCGAATCTAGAGGTTTGGTCTCAAACAGCCACCGGGCACCTACCACGTCTCCTCTCATGATCTCTTCTTTGGTGACTGTAGTGACTTCATGGTATTGGCCTTCTTTGTCCCGGATAGCATACAGAGGTTGGGTCTCGAACATCATGGTGTAGTTTTTGACATCCCCCTTCTCCAAATCATTTCTATATATACTTGTGAGTTTTGAAATATCAGCCTCATTGGACTCGTCTTTGATTTGATCCAGGGAGAACGTCTCGAATATGAAACGGCCTTTGTTAACATCACCCCCTTGAACATCGGTGACTGTTTGAATATCTCTGTCCTCTTTGGATTCATCATGGATTGTATCGATTGGGTGGTTCTCAAACATCCAGGTGCAGTTGACGACATTGCCCCTCTGGATGTCCTCAGCCTGCTGTATCTTTAACAGCTGCATTGTCTCCTCAGAGGTCGAGCTCATGATGTCTGACGAGCGATTCTCAAAAATGTACTTCATCCTGGAAACGTCACCTGACTGGATGTCAATTTCTGTGACCCTTCTGAAAGAATCACTGTCCGCACCAGTTAGGTTTTCAAGATTCTCTGTCTCAAAAAGAAAGCGGGCCAGCCGCACGTCTTTTCCTTGGATGTCTTCCTGTTTTACAGTGCAGGTTTTCAAAATTGTCTCAGACTCTGTATGGTCTCGTATGTTGTCAAGACTCTGGGTTTCAAAGAGCCACGTGCATGTTTTGACATCACCTCTCTGCACTTCCTGGACATTTGCCTCGCTATTTCCAACCTTCTCATAAAGGAGATCCATTGGTTGCGTTTCAAATAGCCATCTGCAAGTTTTAACGTCCCCTCTTTCAATTTCAGTCTCTTCTTTCGTCTCCTTTTCCTCACTATCGATATGTTTGATAGCATCAAGCTGCTGCGTTTCAAACAGCCACTTGGCTGTCTTAACATCCCCTGAGCCGATCTCCTGTTTCGATATACCTTTTATGATCTGAAACTTTTTGAGGCTTTCGTCAAACTCATCGACAGGCCGTGTTTCAAACATCCATCGACAACTATGCACGTCTCCCTTAACAATCTCCTCTCGCCTTACAGTCTTCACTTCATGGTAATGGCCAGAGCTGTCTTGCATCGCATACAAAGGTGTGGATTCAAAAAGAACTCTGTTGGATTCCACAGATCCACTTGTAACACCCTCAACTTGAATTTTCTGTTTGCCTTCACATTTACTTAAATCCATACGTTCAAACTTCTCCTTGCAGTTTGTCACATCACCTTTATCTAGAGCTTCAATGTTCACAGTTCTCGTCATTTCTTTCTTCTCTTCTCTTATATTCTCCAAAGGTTGGCTTTCAAAAACCCATTTTTGATGCCTCACGTCGCCCTTTTCTTCTTCAGTTGCTGCCATTTTTTTAAGTTTGCCCACATCGGTTAATTCCTTGAGATTTTCCATGGGCACTGTCTCGAAGAGATGCTTTGCGGATTGCACATCACCTCCAACAATCTCCTCAGAGGGTAAAGCTCGCGCATTGGCATTATCTTTCAGGGTATCCATAGGCTGAGTCTCAAAAACCAGGCAGTGTTTCTTTACATCAGCTCCAATGATTTCTTCCTTTTTATTCCTAGCGGATTCCCATTCCTCATCCTTAATGGTATCCAAAGTCTTTGTCTCAAAAAGCCATCTCCCTTTGTTGACCCCCCCTTGAATGTTGTCCTCCATGGAAATACCACATATAAGCTTTGCATTAGCAAGGTCTCTGTTGATAGTGTCAAGGGGTTGGGTTTCAAACATCCAGCGTGATGTCTTTACGTCGCCTTTCTCAGTCTCTTCCCTGCGAATAGTTGTGATCTCCAGCATCTCACCCGAATCCCCTCGGATGACACACATGGGCAGAGTCTCAAACATGCGAGTGGTTGTCTTCACATCCCCTTTCACCTCCTCCAACTCAGACTTCAGGCTTAAAAAATGGCTCTCCTCAATGGTTTCTGTTTTGCCGAGTGAATCCAGATGCTGTGTCTCAAAGAGATACCTGGCAGTTTTCACATCTCCGCCGGTGATGTCTTTTGTGGTAACAGTGTCCTGTTCATCTTCTTGGTAGATCTTGTTCAGATAGTCCAGCGGTTGCGTCTCAAAGAGCCAAGTGGCAGTGCGGACATCACCTCTTGCAAGATCAGTTCCCTTTTTTACCTGCTCCGAAGAAGCCAGTGTCTCACTCCCCAGAGCATCCATGGGCTGAGTCTCAAACATCCACGCTGTGTATCTCACATCCTTACCAGCAATCATTTCCTGCTGTGCAATATTCTTAACGTCATTCTCATCTGGGGTGTCATCTTTTATTGTGTCCAGTGGCTTGTTTTCGAACATCCAACGCCGAGATTCCACTTCTCCTCTGAGGATCTCATCCCAATCCAAAGATTCTCGATCAGGACTTGTACTCCCACATGAGCCCTCATTTTCAAACATAAAGCATGTCTGCTGGACGTCCCCAACCATTTCTTGAGTCTGTTCTGACTCGGTAAGATGACTTAGATACTCTTCTTCCAGGTTCTTGCGGACATCTGGGTGAATATGTTTGTAGAGGCGCTTTAGTTCAGCCATGCTCTTGTGTTTAAAGTATTGCTCCTTGTTACCATTGCCTTTATATTGGGGTGCCTGCCTGTCAGGCTGGGCACTGCTCTCCGGGGGTTCCTGTCTTATCTCCCGGAGATTCATGGGAGGAGGAGGAGGAAAATATTCTGTTGATTCATGTGTTGCCGAGGACACTGCAGATGAGGCAGTGGTCTTCACAGAGGGGGAGCTTTGGTGGCTTGTCTCAGTTGAAGCTTTGGACAACTGGTTTACTGGCATCCATTGAAACTGGTTAAAATCCACATCAACCTAAGAAGTTCATAAATGGGCATGGCAAGAGGAACAGTTAAAGTAAGGTGACATTGTCAATCCAAAAGCCAGCTATGTCAACAATTTGACAATCTATTCACAATGGGATTACATGTCAAGTCTCTTTTCAGTTTGCTCCCGATGAGGTTGGAATTCACAACGTATCATTTCACGTGGGCTCATTCTCTACTTATATGTCATCAAACTACTGCCGACTTTGATAGACTCCATCATTACCTTTATTTCACTGGCTGGTGTGGCTTCCTCTATGTTTTTTTCATATTGCTGCTTCAAAGACTGTGTGGAAACCTTTGGTAGGTCCTCTCCTCCGGCAAGCTTAACTGAATTAGACACAAAAAGATGGTTGCCTCATTATGCCCTTTACAGTGGAGTAGAAAATTAAATAAATCATTTCATTAAAAACCCAGGTACTTCTCCTTTTCTGGAACCATGCAGCTGCAATTATTCAGTTTCTTATTTCTAATACTTTACCATCCGTACATTGCCTCTTTGATTTATTTTTTGCTATGCATTGAACAGACAATCATCTGAATGGCTAGTAGTTATTATTACTATACAGAGTATGAAACATACATATAATGTAGAAGGCACATGAACAAGTAACCTGTTTCATTGTAATTTCCGTGACTGGCGGCCACATTGTTGTGGTGCACTCTCTCATCATGGATCACCTGAAAAAAGAAGGCAAATCATTAATTAGTATGCGCCACAAGTTTTAGATCTGTGCCATCGGAAGTCCTTAGTATGGTTGTATTATTCAGGACATGTCATGGAGCAGAAAGTCCAGGACCTTTTGGGTGTGACATGCGGCATAAGTACCTCTTGCTGATTTTGAAAGATGCTTGTGGAGGGGCCGGCTTCTCTGACACTGCTTCTCACAGTCACCTCGGAGGAAGAGGACACCTCCTTCAAATCAAGAAAAATACACTGAGTCCCTCTTTCCCTCATTCAGTGGACACTTGATTTGGTACAATCGAGTGACATCCAGTAAAAGAGATGTGGCATGTAGCATGCATTCAGATTTTTGCAGTGATATGATCGCTTATTTGTTATTATGCTTGTAGCTTGCACTGAGGTCGAATTAAAGTTTGCCATACTGACACATCAGTCTTGTATTTTCTCTTGGGATGCAATTACAATTTTCCAACACTGCAAACTATAACAACTGTACTGTGTTATATCAGTCTAATCTTTTCATTTTGTTGAAATTCACTCCTATAAACCTAAGTCATATCATACATAGTTGCGGAAAACTGAAATAGCCCGAAACTAATTTTGCTAACGCTTAATATGAGCCCCTCATGGTCTGTAGATATATTTTTATTGCTGCACAGCAGAGTTTGAATTACACTCAGTGATTTTCTATTTGGAATGTACAAAAAATGCATTTGCCAATCCTTTCAAATGAAAGGCATGTGAGCAAGTGGTGGAGCATTTGGGTATGTCTCCTTTGCAGTTAACAAGAAAGAAGCAGCCTCCGCTCCTGAAACCACTTATGTCAGGATTACATCTTTTTGAATGTTCAACAAGCTTTAAAACATGGCTTAGATTCTCGATAAAACATCTGTGAAGGGAATCTGACTGGAAAGTGCGTTCTGTTGAGGCGTGAGAGCATTGAGGCGATGAAACAGACCCAGACATTTCTCGCACACACCTCACTGTAAAATTTAGCACTCAGCAAGGTTTTTTACGCTCAGTGCATCCACTCGGCTTTCCATCTCAATGAACAGATGGGGAGAGTGAATGGAGGGCCAGATTTGACCTTGCTTCGCTGGGGTCGAGCAGAAGCAGACGTAACATGCTCTGGCATTTGCTGTATGCATAGGAGTTAAGAATTAATGATCCAGGCTGATGATGACCTATTTGATTGACAAATGAAAATAGCATTGTGCCACATACATGCCTGCAGGCAAACTTTTTTTTTAATCAGGGACATGCCACTTTCACTACCTGTACTTACAAATGTAATAAGGCCTAAACAAATTAATAGGGAAAAGGGTGAAGTTAAGTGTAATAAATCCAAACGTAGATGACGGCGGTCGAGCAGTCACACATGTTCCGCTGAAGTGCACAGTATTGCTAATTCGATTCACTTAAACAAATATCTGGTAAATAAGGCTTTGCTCCAAAAGTGGTGACGGATTTAATAGAGTGGTAGATGAAATGTGTGAAGCAGACAAGACCAGGAAAACACCCAGACTGAGAGGAGAACTAGGGAACCATCTTGCTAACCAGGGCCAAAAACAGAGCGATCTTTCCACTTGTCTTCCTGGATAATGTTCACCGACTTGACAAGAATATGAAGATGCTGCTACTGCTGGAGACGTTTCTGTCAGAAGCATTTATCATTGTTGATTAAACTGCCTCAAGTGCTAATGCTAGCGAATGTGCACTGGAGAACAAGTGCCTTGGGTTTTCGCGTACAGGTTATTTTTATCATCTAAAACTAACTGCCTCTGCCAGTGTGTTTTTAAATTACTATGGAGACAAAATGAACAACAATACAAGCAACTGCTATTATACATGGGTGCCCATTACGTTGATCGTGATCGACCGGTACATCGCGTACTGGTCCCAAGTCGATCGCGAGGGGTGTATTGGAGAAAAAAACAAACAACCATTTGTGTGTCTTTGTGCATGTTAGTAATATATTTTTTGGTGCTAATGTACACTGCACTCTAATCATCCTATCGGTCTCATTTTCACAAAAAGTATTAAAAAATAAAATAAAACGGTACGTGTGAGCTACGATAGTTAACAGGCTGCAAAAGTGCATCGCATGCCTCCGTGTCAGGCTGTTGCTCATCATGTCGTGCGTGTGTACGTGTATGTGCGTGCGCGGTAATGGGTCGATCGCGGGAGGTTGATTGATCGAAAAGTCGATCTTCGGTCCAAAAAGTTTGGGCACCCCTGTATAGTACAGGTACAACAATATATGTGTTTGTATTGAACTGTTTTGGTATGGGGCGTTCGGTTTGGTACTGGACTGTGCACAGGTGAATTCCAGGTGTTGCGTTAAATACTGTATTGCATTGGCTAATGAGAAGACGAAGTGTGCCGACACTGTTCAGCTGAGCTCAGGTATGTTTGCTGCAGTACAAAAATCATGCTAACACAGGTGAACCCCCCCCCCCCTCCTGACCACCACCACCACCACCATGTGTGAGTTTGCTACATTATTACAAGAAACAAAAAACACTTTTGTGCATTCAAGCAGCCTCTCTGTCTGTAGAAATTAATCTCGAGCCGAAGCATAAGTGGGGACATTGCAATTCATAGCAGATCTGCATGTACTGCACACAATGTAGACAAATTAATCTTTCTGGCAAAAGATATGATGAAGGTAGAGCACAAGTCAACAGGGTTACTTGCTGGAACTGTTAATGCTGCACTTGTGAAGAGTTTTGTTAATGTATTTTTATAATTGTTTTATATAAATCAATGTTTGGTGTTTTTTTTTGGGGGGGGATATTTTATTTATTGAAAGTTTATTTTATAACTACTGTGAACATGCACTACTCTGTTCCAATGTTCTTTTTTTTCAATTAATATGTGTTAGAGGAATCTATGAGCAAAATTGTATCATGTTTAAAGTTTCATTTAATTTGGGCACATCTAAACGTTTGGGTGCATATCCAGCACCCCCAACTGCCTGTACACAAAGGTGCCGGCCACCTGGCCGGAGGACGGTTGAAGTCCACAATTAGCACGTCAATGCAGGTGGGCGACCACAGGGGAGAGGGCGAAGCTCGGTCACAAAAGGGGAACGAATAATTCGGGAACCGCGGTTGAACAACAAAAGAAGAGTTGAGAACACCCGTCGCGCCCAGGTGACATTGCCCAGGCGCAAAGTCTGCAACATGTTAATTCGATGTAGACCAGACAGAAAAGGCGCCAACGTACTGGTGGTTCAAGTTTAAAAAACAGGTAACCAATCACCACCGAGGGGCTGGACCGGGGGTGCGGCATGCAAATATCGGGGGCAGTGGTTTTCTTGTATTTTGCATATGTTACAATAAAATGTCGAACTTGTGGAGGGCGGGACTTTGAGTGTGTGATCATCAGAGCAACTACCGTCGTTCGCTCTCAGAGATCCGCTCCCGCCGATATTGAAGACAATTTTCCTGTGTGCCGAGTCATTTCTTTAACTTTGTCCGAGAAAATCTCTGACAATATGTTCCAAGTAAATTTTTAGTTTATAAATAATCAACACAAACAAACCACAACAAGCAATTTTAGGTTTTCCATTTTGCTCCTACACTGTATCGAAAATTTATCGAAGCAAGGTACATATCGAACCGGGATTTTTGCGTATTGTTAAACCGCAACTCTAAAGCTGTATAGCTTGTTTTACAAGTCAGTCTGAATACAGAGAAATATGAAAAGAGTAGACTGCACGCTCTTGGGTTCAGCAACAGTGGCAATGACAACAACGCAATTGTGTTGTCCTTTTCACCTGCACAGATCTCTGCTGAAAATGGAACTGGGTGCTGCTGGACTGGGAAGATGAGGCAAACTCTTGGTTTTCAAACTGTTTCTTCACACTGGCCAGGCCGCCAGGCAGTGAGCAGGCTTCAGACTCCTCCATCACCTGGTAAAACAAAATCTGTTCATCAATGGAATGAATAGAGAACTCAAATGCAAATGTTCACGCAATTTACAAAGCCAAATTCCAATTGGATATTGTGTGCAAATATATATACCGGTATATATTTTTTTTAAGTTTGAATTTGATGTCTCCAACACGTTCCAAAAAAGCTGTTATAGGGTCATGTTTACCACTTAGTTACCTCGCCTTTCCTTTTAGCAAGACTCAATAAGCATTTGGGAACTGAGGACACTAATTGTTGAAGCTTTGTAGGTGGAATTCTTTGCCATTTTTGCTTGATGTACAACTTCAGTTGCTCAGTAGTTCGGATTCTCCATTGTCGTATCTTGCGTTAGTTCATTTCTCCGGCACACATTATCTTTTAATCAGTGGCAAATTTGATCTTTCTAAAAGGGCCCCGAGACAACTTCTGTCATGATTTGGCGCGCTATAAATAAAATGTAATTGATTTGGGTTGCATGTTCTAAAAAAGCTGGAGCAGGAGGATGTTTACCATGTCACGTTACTTCCTTTTGACAGGATTCAAAAGGTGTTTGGGTATATGTTGCTCCAAATTCTGTATGTGGCTTTCAGCATTATCGGTGCCTTTACAGATGTGCACATTACCCATGCCACGTTAGTGGACTAAGGGCTGATGACAACCCGGGATAGTCCTTTTCGTCTTTGGCCCCAGATCCATGATTTCCCAAAACAATTGGAAAATGTGGCCTCGTCAGACCACAGAACACTTTTTCACTTTGTGTCAGTCCATCTCAGATGAGCTCTGGCCCAGAGAAGCTGGCGGCGTTTCTGGGTGTTGTTGACGGATGGCTTTCGCTTTGCCTTGTAGAGTTTTAACTTGCATTTTTACATGTAGCAAAGAACTATAAACTGGCAGTGGTTTTCTAAACTTGAGCATACATAGCAATATCTTTTACACAATGATGCCAGTTTTGAATGCGGTGCAGCCTGAGAATTTGAAGATCACTGGCATTCAATGTTGGTGTTTGATTTTTCCTGCTTACATGCAGACATTTCTCCAGACTTTGTGAATCTTTTGACGATATTATGGACCATAGATGATGAAATCCCTACATTACTTGCAATTGTACGTTGAGAAACCTTGTTCTTAAACCGCTGGTCTATTTGCTCACGAAGTTGATCGAAAATTAGTGAACCCCATCCTTGCTCGTGAAGAACTCCAATAATTCCTCAACTTTCCCAGTCATTTGTTGCCCTTGTCCCAACATGTTGCAGGGGTCAAATTCCAAAATGAGAGAATTTTGAAAAACAAAACAAAACCATAATGCTCATTAGGTTGAACATGAATTATCTTTTCTTTGAGTGTATTGAATTGATTTTTGGTGGAAAAGGATTTGCAAGTCACTTTGTGCTGTTTTTATTTGTTTTACACAACATCGCAAATTAAATGGAATTGGAGTTGGCAATACATAAAAGCAATGACTCTTTGATAGCCTTATGCAGATGACTTTGCATGCATCAATCAGCAAGGTTGATGTTGATTTAAACTGTAACATTGGAGACAAAGTGGTTCCTTTGGAGGGATTGAAGGGATATAATGCACTGTGGGTGTTGAAAGGACGTTAAGGCAGAGTATAGTTCAAATACAACAAAAAGGGGATGTATGAAAGGAATATAAAATTCCAGTTTGGCAGTTGGGTGAATTAAGCATGGTCCTTGCAGCTATCCCAACAGCTATTCATTTTTACCACATTAAACATTCCAAAAAGCTTGGCCATGCGACAACACAGAAGGACAGGTATATAAGGTAAGGAAATTCATATTACAACATCAAAGCTTGTCAGTGATTTGTAGCAGGCTTTGAAAGACTGTGTTTGTCGAGGATTCAGAACACAAAAGCCTGATTCATTTGCGAAGTAGTGACAACAAACTGGATGAAAAGTACTTTCCAAATAAGACATTAGGTGCGTCTAGCTCTGGTGAAATAGCAAAATGTAATAACTTTTTCTTAGCTGAGGTTCTTGTTGTGTCTACATAGGTGTGTGAGTGTTGCTGCTTTATACACAGAGAGTCCAATGTAATTTGCAAGTGAGAGCAAAAATCAATAAATTAAAAAAAAATAACATTGTTATCAATCATTGACCACAAGGAATAATTTATGTTACACAAAAGCAATAGTTTAACATCGATGAGCTTTGATAGTTGCTTGTATTTCCTTTGAGTCATTATCTTAGCTGTCATTTTGTAGCTGTCTAATGATGACCACTTGTGGCACATTTTATTTCCAGGAACAATAAAAACAACTTACATTGTTAAAAAAAAACAAACAAAAAAAAAAACATACGTTCATGTTTTCACATCCACCACTGTTGTTCAACAGTATATGTTGAAGTGGACTGACAGGTCTAAATGGAATAAGGCTTTCTTTTGATGAACAGATAGTTGCAATCCTAGCTTGGACGAATGTGATTAAAGCATTGCAATTACCTCAATACAGTATCATACACTGAACTCAATATACTTCACCAGGGGTGTCAAACATACGGCCCGAGGGCCGGAAAAGGCCCCCAAGGAGGTTGGATCAGGCTCGCAGGATAATTTAAAAATGAAAAAATGCATAAAAGACACGGAATGAATATTTTGAATAAGGTGTAATTCATGGAGTATCTGCTAGGGGACACACTGTTTTGAACAGAGTAGAAGACAACATTGTTTTGATCAGAGTAAAAGACAACAGCAGTGTCAATGTGTCACTGAGACAGACCCAACAAAGCATATGCTGTCAAGGACATGTGAACACTTTATTCTTTACACATTTAATAGCGCTCTCCTTAGTTTGTAAGGTGTAAGCAGAGATTAAATTGAGATTGTATATGCACATGTGTAAATGGTTAAAAATTCCTTTCTTTATAAATCTCGTTTAATCTTAAAATGCATTACTATATTTTTCAATACCGATTACTTGTTTAAGTTATGTGACTTTCTACAACAGTGGGGTCAGTTGCAATGCATATATGTGAATGATAAAAGTAAATTGCATATTTGTCTAAGGAAATCTATGGTGCTTCATGAAATGTTTTGTAAAAGATACGTTCATTAAATTTCAACATTTTACTCATGTTCTTGTGCTTCTTTAGACCAAAACAAAGGAAAGACATATTATTTTGGTTATTTATAGCAGAGTATGGTGTAATTTTAATGGTCCGGCCCACTTGACATCTCTCGAAGCCGTATGTGGCCCACAATGTGAAATGAGTTTGACACCCCCTGTACTACACTGTTGAGTAGTTTTAGCCATCAGAGTTTTACATGCGTGGTTTCCAACAAAAGGTTTGTTAAAAAAAAAAAAGATGAAAGTGCAAACATCTCTTTCCTGCGTTGCGAGTCTTGGCTCAGTGCAAAGAGAACGGGGGCGGCATAGTGTCAAGTGGAAGTACAGTGTATTGAAGTTCACTGTTGTAGTGGCTAATGGAGATACTCGGTGGAAGAAAGCTTCTGTTATGAACCATCTTTGATTCGTTACTCAGCTATGTACATTTACATGTTTAATGCTGCTTGTTGGCAGGCACACAGTGCGTTGCAATGTATCCCAGATTGGCTAATCGTGCTGTATTTGGTTGTATGATAGATGGGGCACACTGCAGTTCCTGAGGCACCTTGTCACATTTGTGTGGATATGATGGCGACAGTTGCCTAAGGCGGGGTTAGTTAGTTAGTTAGTGCTCCAGCGAAGGTCCGGGGGTCCCGTCCCTGTGCGTTGAGCCGACCAGATGAACCAGGTTTTTCCAGTGCCGGCGGTCTTGTGCCAGCTGTTCTGCATCCTCCACAGCAACTCCTTGTTGTTGGAGGTCGCCCGCAACGACGTCGAGCCATCTAGTGCGGGGCTTCCCTCGTGGTCGTCTCCAGCCTGCGGCCTTTGGGTCGAACTGAAGAATGGCTCGTGTCGGATGGTCTGGTGGTAGGCGAAGGACATGGCCGAACCAGCGGGTGCGGCGTTGTGCGACCAAGGAAGATGCTCGGGGCTGGCACGTGCGGGCTCTGAGCTCTTCATTGGAGACTCGCTGGGGCCACCTGATGTTCTCGATGGTTCTGAGAGCTCTGCTATCAAAGCCATCGATTCTTTTGGCCAGGGTGTCGTTCAGGGGCCATGTTTCTGAGCCATAGAGCAGGATCGAGAGTACGGGGGGGGGGGGGGGGGAAGCCCATGCAGATTTTGTATGGCAGCTAGGACCTGGCTCTCAGCTGTCACTGCTGTCACAAGGGGCCTGACACTGAGCATTAAGTGAGGTCAGGGATGTTGTGGCGCCGCAACACTGGCTATTATAGCCATGAAGTGCACGAAAATGATTCAGTTCATCCTGCTTGAAACTGTGCTTCCATACTACTATTATGTGACGCAAGGAGAGGCAACATGGAACAATTTTGGAACCCTGCACAGAAAAAGGATGGCTGATCGATCTTTGCAAAATGTGTTCCCTGCAATTTGAAATGGACGAGAAAGGCGCTAAAAGCACATCCTTTCTGAAGATAAATGGAGATAAAAATTGAGCTCGTGCACGAAAATGATTCAGTTCATCCTGCTTGAAACTGTGCTTCCATACTACTATTATGTGACGCAAGGAGAGGCAACATGGAACAATTTTGGAACCCTGCACAGAAAAAGGATGGCTGGATCGATCTTTGCAAAATGTGTTCCCTGCAATTTGAAATGGACGAGAAAGGCGCTAAAAGCACATCCTTTCTGAAGATAAATGGAGATAAAAATTGAGCTCTTAAAAGGCTCCACACGAAGACCTCTCACCAAGCAATTGCTATAAGAGCACAGCGAATGCTTTGTAACAGTTCTGTTTGTAAAAAGTACTGTGAATAGAAATGTTCAGTAAAAATACTGTACTTGGTTATTGTTGTTTTTACATCACATTAGGTGTCATGTACATCCCCCAATTCCAATGAAATTGGAACGATGGTTAAGAAAACAAACAAAAACAGAACACATTGATCTACAAATCCTTTTCAACCTATATTCAATGTAAATACTACAAGACATTTAATTTTCACACTGGTGATGTTATTGTTTTTTATTTAGTCATTTTAAATTTGATGCCAACAGCCAGTTCCAAAAAAAAAAAAAAAAAATGTGACAGGGGCATGTCGACCTCATTGTTCCATCACCTCGCCTTTTAACAACACTCAATCAGCGTTTGGTAACTGAGGACACTAATTGTTGAAGGTACATCGGAGGAATGCTTTGCGATATTAGTTGCATAACAGTCCAGGGTCTCTGTTGTCATATTTTGCGTTTCATAATGGAACACAGATTTTCAATGGTAACCAGTCTGGACTGCTGGCAGGCCAGTCTAGTACTCACACTCTTTTACTAAGAAGCCACGGTGTTTTAAGACTGTAGCTTGACATCATCATGCTAAAATTAGCAGAGGTGTGTTTCTGGAAATGACCTTGCTTGGATAGCAACATATGTTGCTCCAAAACCTGTTTGTACCTCTCAGGATTAGTGGCGCCTTTACAGATGTGCCTGTTACAATTTCCACAGGCACAAACACACCCCCATGCTATCACACAGGCTGGCTTTGAAACTTGGGGCTGGTGACAATACGGATGGTCCTTTTCCGCTTTGGCTCATAGAAAAAGTCCATGACGTCCATGATTTTAAAAAATTATGAAATGTGGACATTTTTTTTTAAATGTGCATCAGTCCATCTCAGATGAGCTGAGAAGCCGGCAGTGTTTCAGGGTGTCATCGAGGTACAGCATGGCTTTTGCTTTGCATGGTAAACTTTTAACCTGCATTTTTAGACGTACAGTAATGACAAACTGCGGTAACCAACACAGATTTTTTGAAGTGTTCCTGAGTCTATGTCGTGTATGTTTTTAGTACAGTGCCCGCGTGAGGGATTGATGGTCATTTCTCCTTATTCTCAGAGCATAAATGATGAAATCCTGAAATTTCTTGCCATTGTACGTTGAGGAGCATTGTCTTTTTGCCACGCACTTGTTCACAAAGTGGTGAAACTCGCCCCATCCTTGCTTGTGAACAACAGGGCCTTTCGGAATGCACCTTTTATACGGGTGTTTTTTGAGTATTCCTCAACCTTCCCAGTCTTTTGTGGCCCCTGTTCCAGCTTTTTTGGAATGTGCTGCAGGCATCAAATTCAAAAGGAGAGAACATTTGCAATTAAAAAATAAATAAAATAAAAAAATAAAAAAATAAAACAATTGTCAGTTTGAACTTTAACTACCTTGTCTTTGTAGTGTATTTGATGGAATAAATAGGTTGATGTGGATTTGCAAATCATTGTATTGTTTTCATTTCCATTTTACCCTACCTTCTAACTTCACTGGAGTTGGTTTTTGTCCATGTATGCATCATTCAAGGAGATTCCAGATAAGATTTGTGGTGAGACATTAAACTGTAGTAAGTATATCATAATTTCAGTACATGAAATGTCTTGTCTCACTGGTGCACTTTATACAAAGTCGTTTAACAAAACGATCAAAAGTGGCTCTCAGTATGTTGCAATGCAAGACTGCAAAATGTAACCACAATAAATAAAAACCGTCTTATTAAATAACTAGAGCTGAACTACTTTCAAACTCAATTGAACATGATTATTGTGGATACCAAACGAAATGACCAGTCAAAATGCTCATTTGAGATTTACATTATTATTTTTTTGTGTGGATTCTTTATTTTAATACCACGATCTTGGTTAATGTAAAATCTCTTCACTGTTTTTATTTTTGTTTCCTATCGACATCCTAAACCTAAATTGTTGGTATTCATCCACTAAAGAGAGAAAAAAACACAATGCTCACTGTAATAACTGACAAATGCATTGAAGAAAAGAAATTTGAAAACTCAGCATAGACCCGTACTTTTTTTGTCGCTGTTCTTGGGTGATTAAACTCTGTGTTTCAATCTCTGATGAGGGACCTATGACCTGCAGCTGAGACTGTGCTAAGCTTCCTATTTCATTCTTTAAAACTTCCTTCTTCATTCCTTGACATATTCAAAACACCCTGTGCCGGATGCAGCTCAAGCACATGAGACAGTAACACAGACAAAATTGCTGCTCACAAAAAAAAAAAAAAAAAAAAAAAAAACCCTACAGCAATGGTGGTTATTGAAATAACTGATGATTGGAATTTCTCAAAATGCATCCTGACATAAGCAAACGCTCATCTCCTTTGGACAGATGTGACAAAGCTGGGGCTTTTTGACATGTCCACTTAGCTCTATCAGACACAACAAAGAAGCATGCAGCAAAGACATTGTAAATACCGGTAAACTGCGATAAATACTGTGAAACTAGGAGGAGGCTTGGTTATATTCTGAGGATGATTTGCTATGGGGCGTGTCTTGGATCCTTCACCTCGGGGTATCTTTTTGATAGACGTGCCAGCCGTGAGCCGTGTGGCCAGTTAGTGGGAGTTGTCTCGTCTTTTCATGTTTGCACTTGCTTCATGGCTGTAAGACCATGTTGCTGTGTGCTGTTCATTAACTAACTACTGTAACCCACTTTTCATGAATTGTTTTGCCTCAAGAATAAGGCCCCCTTTAAAAAACAAAAACAAAAAAAATCGAGAGCTGTGCTTTGTGTGCCACTTGAAAGGGAGGCGTTTATTTGTTGGCCCAGCATCAACAAGAGTGGAGGCCACTGTTTGAGAATCTACAATACTTTGAGCCTGATGCTACAAATATATGATGTAAGCAGTGTTAGTCAGCTTCTCTAGCTATCAGCACAGCATGCTCTGTCCTAAATACTGCATATACTGCGTGGTCTTACCGCTACAGAGGAGGAGCAGGTACTTTCTTTGTGGGACACTGCAGCCTGATACATGGCCAGACGATCTTTTAGTGACACAGACTCGGCGGTTTCACGGTCATCAGCGTCTGGAGCCCGACTCCCCTGGATGGGCTGTTCCTCTGCAGCTACATACATACACAAACAAGAAGACGATATCAGAATCATCTTTTTTGACCAAGTATGTAGGACACACAGGGAATTTGTTTCTGGTAGTACAGACCACATTTGTATCATCAATAACAAGCAACTACGATAAACAGGACTTGACCAATAGGTATGGAAAGACATTCTGTAATGTTAGGGTACCGTTATGCGGTAGTACCACCCAATGACAGCTGTGAGACATGTGCAAAGTATCAAGCAGAGCTAATGTGATCAGTGGTAGAATACAATCCAAACAATTGTGCAGGTGGTGCAGACAATCATTGCACCATTTTAAAGTGACTAGTAGCAGTCTTTGTAGAAAAAGTTTAAGTGTGCAGTTGTACAGATGTCCTTGAGCACTTTAAAGTGTCTGGTGCTGTGCAATATAGATCAGTGACAATGGTTCAAGTAAGTACAGAGCTGGAGCTATAATGATTATTGCGGTAATGCTGTTCCACAGGGGTGTGCAAAACGCAAGGAGCCACTATACAGGTAGATTTGGGTGACTGTTTCGGGAGTTAACGTCTCGAGCCGTGGTTCTTAACCTTGTTAGAGGTACCAAACCCAACCAGTTCACATGCACATCATCGAACCCTTCATTAGTGAAAAATAAAAAACATGATTTTTTTACCATTTCAAGACATTAAAAAACTCATTTATTAAAACCGGAAAAATAAATAAATAAAAGTAAATAACATTTCAAGACCTAAGTATTTTTTTTTTAATTTAATTGTATGGCAGAGGCTCCCTCGAACCCCTGAGATCAATTCACTGAACCTCTAGGGTTCGATCGAACCCAGGTTGAGAACCACTGGTCTAGAGGGAAGAAGCTGTTTGAATGTTTGTATGACCTTCTGAGATGTGAATAAATGTTATCATTGTTGGGCTCTAACTGAAGATAATATTGAAGTTATTCGGCATTCTTTCCTTCTTATTGACGCTGGATATCTATACACAGATCTGTAACAAATCCATCAATAATCACACACTACTTTATGATTCCTCATTTTGCTCAATGCACCCCCATGGACTGCCAATTAGAGGAGACCATTGATTCTGCATTTGACTTTTCTGCGCTACAAAGCATCATTAAGCAACAGAGAACGCTGCACCGTGTCTCCGCGCACACCCACACTGGACCTTTTAGCACTTTACGCGTTCAGTCTCTCGCGGCAACAATGTGGTGGGATGAAAGAAAAACCTACATGAAAATGATTTTCTCTCATTATCGGCACAGGCTGCAACCTTTGGTCATGCTGAAATCCTACGCCTTGTTCTCTTGTCATCAGATGCTCACACGGAGTATTTGCTGCACTTGCACTGGATGCGCACTAATGGCGAAAGTCATTAGAAGTTTTTGTGGAGAGTTGCAGCACCTGCTTCTTTAAAACCTATTGCAGCATAATAAAGATCCTGTCGATGCTACGATATTTGCTCGCTTTTAATGCTCGCTGTTTCAGCTTGGCTGTGTAGCTTCTCTCTGTAAACATTTCAAGTAAAGTAGTGCAATATGTATATACTGGACGGTGTGTGCAGTGTGCTCCAGTCTAAATACAACAATCAGGCTTTGAGCTCAGTATGCGTCATGAATACACACTCAATCACATCTTCCTTCCTTCCTTACTCTCTTTATTTGTTCAATTAATCTGAATTTGAATGGTCACAACACTGAATTATTGTTTGGAGGAAACAGACACCAAGACTTAGAGGTCACTTTATACAGAGCGCAAACAAGTTAGGAGCGCATGTCTAAGAACTGTAAACTTTTGAAGGGAATGTACAGTAGTATGCAGAAGGAGAATACACGCCATGAGGTAAAGATCACATCAGATCGGATCCACTCCCACACATGATCTTGTTTTTCCTGCTCAGCCTCATTCACTGATGGATCTCATGAGGAAATGTGTTCTTATGTGTTTATATGCACTTTTCAAAAGGAAGTTTGCACAAAATAATTGTTTGTTGTGTTGTTGTGCTTGATTCAAGGTGTAGCGAGGCCAATGAAAAATCTTCAGCCACTCATCCCCCGTGTTGGTAAATGTATGTCCTTGGAAAGTGCAATGGCTTGAGAGCTGGATCTAATTTTTAAGTTTCGTGTTCCATTCTCAGAATTTCCTACCAAGGTGTTGACCCATGGAAAAAGTGTGGGTTGCATCAGGTGTAAAAGCTGTGCCAAATGTATCATGTGAATGACTTGCTGTGGTGACCCCTGACAGGGTGAAGTTATTCTTACCGAAGGTTGGCAGTAAAATGACGATTATTTTAACCACAGATGTACTGATAACCAATTTTCTCATCAGAATAGGTAGTTTTTAGCTCCTACTGGAGCAAAATTAAAAACAACTTGACCCAACATTCTGGGCCAAATCCTCAACCAAATGTGCTGGGGATAAATAACCCAGTGTTAGCTCTGTCCCTTTCGGACCCTACACCGGGTTAATTATTTCACCCAATTAGGGTGATTTTCGACCCACTCCCATTCCCGCACACACACACACACACACACACACACACACACACACACACACACACACACACACACACACACACACACACACACACACACACACAAAACATGCATACGTACCCTGATGACCCTGTTATTAAAAAAGACATGGCAAGGCACAGAGAAACCACATGAGAAAAAAAAAGCACCCAAGGGGGAGCTAATCCACGCTGAGTGACAGCCGTCACATCTTTCAGCGTGGAGGCCCCCAAGAGGAAACACTGATGCTGAAAAATTCTCTCTCTCTCTCTCTCTCTCTCTCTCTCTCTCTCTCTCTCTCTCTCTCTATATATATATATATATATATGTAAAAGGCTTGAATTAAAATTATTTTTAAAAAAATACATAAATAAGTTATTCAAAATCCAAGCTCCAAAGATGTGCCTGAAGCCTCTTCTTAAAAACATCAACAGTCTCTGCAGACCTGATGTCCTCTGCCAGTCTATTACATACCTGAGGACCAAAATGGCTGAATGCAGCCTCACGGATGTGTTCTGGTCCTCACCCTAGGAATAATTAAAAGGCCAGTGTTGCATCATTTTTGTGATTTTGCTGTTTTGTGACAATGTGATGCATTGTAGTTTTTCACTAAAATAGAAGGTAAATCATTTTCATTGATCTGTTGAGAAGAGTTCTGCGTGATTTGATTGTAGGGGAGATGTGAGTTTGTCGAGTGTGTTAATTCTTACCCTTCAGTTCAGAAAAGTGTTGTAGTCTTTTAATAACTCTTTCAGAGAAATTGTCTGTACAGGTCAAAATGAACTTTCCTGCACTTTTATTTCACAGTCATTATGCTTGTACAATGCACCTCCAAGGTATTTTAGGTTGGCATGTAATTATCTTTAAATAGGAGTAACAGCATCCAAAACATTTGAGATTGGGGTACCGGTAAATTTATTCATCAACATCCTTTGCATTTAGAGTTGTTGACACAGCAATAATTTCCATAAAAGTATTGCTTGTGTTCTTGTTTATATGTTTTGGGTTTTTTTAATAGACACATTGGTTGTCTGAACATTTTGAGATTATTTGCACAAGCAGAAATTAAGAGGGCAGCTTCCCCATGACCCTGTTTGAGATTCAAAGATGGATCAAGCTTCCTTCCACCATCCAAAAACAAACAAAAAAATGTATAATAGGAGCACTTAGTAAGTTTACATATACAGTGCAATTATTTGGGTAAAAGATATACTGTACACTAGTAATATACTGTTCAAGATTTTTCTTCGCGGTCATGAGAGCTATACAAACTATGACTTGTTTGTTTCGTGTGTTCGTTTTTTTTTTTTTTTATTAAACCCTTTCATGCACCCTGCACCCTGTAACCTGATAACATTATAAGATGTCCACTGTAGTAACCACTGTCCCTAAAAGGGTTAAATGTTTTTTTGTTTTGTTTTGGGGGTTTTTTGTGACATTGACCTTAAAGATGAATGCATTTCCTTGCCGACCCACCGCACTCCCGACACAGCTTTCTCTCTCTTATGAATTAAAGTAAGTAAGTCACAGAGGCTGTAGCATATGCCAGCGAAGTGCAGTCAGGGCAGACAGGGGAATCAGAGCCTCCCCTCCCCTGCGCGTGAAGAGTAAAAAAAATAAAATAAACACCAAACACTGATAATGCATCAGTACCCAGGATTGAATGTGTGGCGCCTGAAAAGACATTTAAATATGTCCTTGATAGAATGAGTTATCTGCTCTGTGCTGATATTGATTTTCTTTTTCAGTCCAAAAATGTCCTCATTAAAATAGCTGAAAGTACTTATTTCCTGTTCAAGCAAATGGGCAAACAGGGATGTGTGCCATTGTGCCCCAAGTGCCTCAAGGTAATGCGCACACATTACTTGACGCACACAGTTATTGCACTGCACTCACAAAAGAGACACTGCTGTTTCTCTTTATATTGCCAAAACACGTTTTATCACAAATCTACTCCACATGTTGACGTTCAACAGTCTCTGTGATATATTTAATGAATGTGTGTAATATCTAGTCTTTCTGGACTGCCATGAATTTGAGTGAAAATGCCGTGTAGCTTTCACAGGTGGCAGCGCTGAGCTGCACTGGCAATGCGTAGAACAGGGGTGTCAAACTCATTTGACATTGTGGGCCACATACGGCCTCGGTAGATGTCAAGTGGGCCGGACCATTAAAATTTTACCATGCTCTGCTATAATTAACTAAAATATGTCTTTCCTTTGTTTTGGTCTAAGGAAGCACAAGAACATTAGGAAAAATTTAATGAACATATCCTTTACAAAACATTTCATGAAGCACCTTAGATTTCCTGAGACAAATGTGCAATTTACTTTTATCATTCACATATATGCATTGCAACTGATCCCACTGATTGCACAAAGGCACACAACTTTAACAAGTAATTCGTATTAAAAAATATAGTAATGCACTTTAAGATTAAACGAGATTTATAAAGAAAGGATTTTTTCAACCATTTACACATGTGCATATATAATC